CTGAGGTGGGGGTTTGTCCCCCAGTTTCAGCCAGCCAAGGTGGTTAGAGAGCAGCCAGGGAGCCACACGAGGCACGGCAAGCTGTCAGCATTGCCGGAACCAGCTTAATGTCAGGAATTTCCTGCTGGGGAGAGGAATCCATGGCATTAACATGAAATGCCAAAAAAAGATGGTGCTGACCCCAAATTAGTCCCTGGGCTGGATGGGAGGACAGAGGGCAGTGGGATCTGCTGTGGCCCCTCACCCAAGCCCGATGCAGTGGGCAGGAGGGTGCTGGGAGGTGTTGTGTGGGTGGGGAAGGCAGGGGGAAGGTGTCTGAGCTGGGTGCTGGGGGGTCTGTGGCAAGGAAAACCCCCAAAACCAGCCCGTGCCTAACGCGTCTCTGTTTACCCCTTGCAGAGAAGACGGGGAAGGTGCTGGGGGAGTTCTGCCGGTGCTACAGGGAGCAGTACGGCGTCGCCCTCTTCAACAGCGTCCGCTATGAGATCGAGGGCAACGGGGGGCCACAGGCCCAGCTGCTGCACCGCAAGGTAAGAGCCCAGCTCCGTGTGACGAGTTGCTCTGGCCAGACCCTGAGCCTGGAGCTGGCTGGGAGCTCCATCCCCTGCCCAGAAAACATGGACCCATGTCCTTCCCAAAGCCCAGCCACGTTCCTCTTCCCCAGTCAGCCCTGTCGGGGTGGGATGCAGCCCCTGTGCCACTGCTTCAGCCCATTCCCACGGCATCGTGCATCATCCGTGCAGCACGTGGGGCTCCCCAGGAAGGTTTTCTTTCCCATCCCATGCAGTGAGCACACCCAGCGAGCGGGGGCAAGGCTGGCTGTGGGCTGCAGCTCCTGTGGATGAGTGTGCTTGATACCAGGGCTGGCAGGCACTCCCAGGACCCCCTTCTGCTCAGGGAAGACCTGAGAGGGACATGCTGGGCTGTTCTCCTGCTGCTGGGTGCGAGCGATGCTCCAGCCCAGGGAAGCGCTTGGGGAGGGGTAGGAAATTCCTGGAAAGCATCCCTGACCCCCTGAGCTCCAAGGCACCAGCAGCCACCTGTCTGGCAAAAGGACTCCAAGCATCCCCCCTTGTTGCTTGTGTCTCTGGCACCTGGGGACAGATCCTGCCCTCTCCTCCTGCCTCCAAAGGCAGATGGATGCCAGCCAGGGAGTCTTGCCGGCAGGCACTGTTTGGGAATCATCCTTGGCCGGGTTGCTGGAGCCACTGTCCTGTGGGTGCTCCTTGAAGGCCAGAGGAGATGTGTTTGTATGTGGGGATGAACTTCTACTTTTGTCTGGGGCTTCAAGGGGTGGGTTTTTAGAAATCTAGAGATTGCATTGGTGAGGTCAGACTCGAGCCCTGGGTGCTCACAGCAGCTGTCCTTCTGACTGACCCAAGAAGGTGACACCTTGCCCAGGCATCTGGAGTCCCGTCTCCTCCACAAGCTGCCTGGGTGCCAGGTGTGTTGAGCAAATTCAAGGTGGGGAGGTTCCTGGGCAGAAGCCAGGTGCAGGACAAGGTGCCTGGTGTCCTCGACAAGGTGTCCCTTGGGTTCCTTGCAATTTGGCAGATGCCTTCAGACCCCCCAGGGGGTACCTCCCTCCCAAGGTTGGTTGCTTCATCATAAAGCTCCAGCAAGCAGCCCAGGAATGTCTGAGGAAGGCGGCGAGGCGTGGAGGTCAGGGACCATTCAAGTCTTTTAAAACACCAGCGTATAAATAGCACATTCCTCTTGCACGATGTCCCGTCTGCTGCCCAGCAAAGGGTGCAGGCAGAGCCTCCGGCCGGGATGTGCCAGGGCTCCAAACACCGCGGGGATGTGCTGGTCTGCACGGGGCTGGGGAGAGCATCTCCTCCATCCAGCTGGGCTTTGAGCTCCCCAGATGTGCCAGACAAATTGTGGATGTCGAGGAGATGCAGGATAGCGTCTTCCCCGTCCTCAGGCAGGTCCTGCTGGAATCTGGTGTTTGGTTTTTTGGTATTTTATTTGGTTTTTGCCACCTCTGTGGGAATGTGGTGTTCAGAGGCAGCTCCTGCAGTGATGTGGGGGGCTGGTGGCCCTCCTGGGCAGAGGGGGACAGATGGGCTGGGCTCTGAAGCACAGTTCAGTCACCTGAAGTGCCAGGAGGAAGATGCACAAGGAATAAATGTTTCTGCCTTTGGTCTTTCCAGCAGCCAGCGCCCCTGAAAAACCATCCCGGAGCATCCTCTCATAACACTCCCTCCTGCCTCTCCCGGGAAAGCCCCAGAGCTGACGTATCCAGACCCAGGTCTCGCTGCCTGTCCCCCTGGCAGGGATGCAGGCAGCATGGGGCCCTCCACCCGTACACTCCCCAGCCCCCTCCCTGCCCAGCCTAGCAATTTGCTGCATACCTGCCTGCCCCAAATATTTGCCAGGGTTGGATGTTGTCACCTCGATGCCTCCCCCGGGTGAGGAGGGGATGGCTGTGCCACAGGGCTGGGGCTCCTGGGATGCTGGTGGCTGTGAGCAGCCATTCTCCACCTGAGGGTCCCCTGGACCCACATCAGGCCTTGGTCCGGATTTTATTTCATTAGCAGATGGTCCGTGTGCCTTTGTCTGCCTTGGGCAGTGGTTTTGGACCTGGTTTATGTGGGCTGATTCTCCTTGGATGAGCCACCTCAGTGAGATGCTGACAGGGACTCCAGAGTTGGCACCACCTTTCCTGTCCCCATCCCCGCTGGTGGCTCTGGGCTCTCATCGCTCCCGCTGTCCCCCAGCCCTGCAGTCCTTGCTTTTTTTCTTTCTTCTTCCCCTTCCAGAGGCACTGGAAAGCAGAAGGGAGCAGCGAGGTGCTGTCAGCCTGTTTGCTGAGCCAAGCTGCTTTCAGACCTCCCAGGGGGTGTGGGGTTGGGGAGCAGTAGGGGCCTCGGGGCAGACAACGGGGTGTCTGTGAAGCAGGAGATGTAGAGAGCAGGGAGAGGGATGGGAAACGTCCTGTTGTTGGGTTCATGGTGGGACCCAGGCCCTGTCTGATCCCTCCTGATGGCCACCATGGTGGATGGTGGGTGGCCATGGCAGGAGAGGTGGCCGCCGCACACTCACGAGATCTCTCAGCTCTTGTTTATGTTCCTGGGATCATAAAAATTCTTGGGACAAATTCTTGGCTCACTCAGCCGGTCTGTGTTTGGGATGGTGTAAACGCTGCCGGCATGCGGGCCAAAAGGCGCTGGAGAGCCAGTGAGGGGCTGCTCAGCTCAGGGGAGCTCGGGATGTCCTCAGCCTATTCCCGTTGCTGGTCCTCCATCAAATCAAGAACATTTAAGCATCATCTTGTGCTGGACTCCACAGGCTGGCTTCTTGCTTTTCTTCTTCCGTGTCCCAGCTGGAGACCGTGCTTGGGCAGGTTTGGTTCCTGCTGTGTGCATCTGGCCTCAGACCCACACCCTGGCAGGACCTTCTGCTTGATGGCCATGACCGAGCAGCACCACGCATGCTTCCGTCTGCCCCACGTCAGGGAAATCGCCACAGCTGGGGTGGGGAAGAGCTGCTGGAGGGCTCTGCTCTGACCTGCTGCTGGGCCAAGAGCTCAGGTCGCTCAGCTGATCTTGTATGTCCCAGGGACAGAGGTGCGACCGCCACCATGGTGAACACCACCACGTGTCACTTCGCTGCTCTATGAGCAGCCCCTCTGGGGTTTTTTAGGGCTGTGCATGTGGTACCCCTCAAAGTTGTTACCCAAACACACCTCTTCAGGCACAAAAATTTGCGGTGCTATAGGAGATAATCTGGTGGTGAACTTGGAGACCCCCAACAGAGCCCTAGGGCAGAAAACCCCACTGAAACCACCACGAACAGACCTTGCTGAGCTCCCTGAGCCAGGCTGTACCCAGCTGCCCCCTCCCTGCCCCACAGCGCATCTCTTCCCCACAGGTCCCGCTGGAAGACCACGTCATCTACTCAGGCAACCTCTTCCAGTACATCGAGGAGAACAAGAAGTGGAGGAACCGCTTCTGTGTGGTCCCGCACAACTACGGCTTGGTCCTCTACGAGAACAAACTGGTGAGGGGCATCACCCTTCCGCCCATCTCTGGTGGGCACAGCTCCAAAGGGGGTCACCCTGTTGCGATGGTGGCGTGGCCGTGCTCCCCATCATCCGTGACCATCTCTTTCCGCTCAGGCCTATGAGCGGGAGCTGCCGCCCCGCGTGCTGGTCAACAGCGCTGGCTACAAGATCCTCACCTCCGTGGACCAGTACCTGGAGCTGGTGAGCAGCAGCCTGCCTGGTGAGTGGGCCTGGTCTCTGTGGGGCAAGGGGGTATGCTCCAGGTCTCCCCCCGTGCTGCTGGGCATCACCTGGGGACCGTTGGGATGCTCCAGGTCTCCCCCCGTGCTGCTGGGCATCACCTGGGGACCGTTGGGATGCTCAAGGTCTCCCCCCATGCTGCTGGGCATCACCTGGGGACCGTTGGGATGCTCAAGGTCTCCCCCCGTGCTGCTGGGCATCACCTGGGGACCGTTGGGATGCTCAAGGTCTCCCCCCCATGCTGCTGGGCATCACCTGGGGAGCGTTGGGATGCTCAAGGTCTCCCCCCATGCTGCTGGGCATCACTTGGGGACCATTGGGAAGGGGTGATTACGAGACGTGGGCATCCCTATGGACCTTCTGGAAGGAGTGGGTTTGGAGTGTAGCATCTCTGTGGATCTTCTGGAAGGGGTGGATTTGGGGTGGATCATTCCTGGGACCCTTTGGGAAGGGGTTGTTTTGGGCTCTAGCATCCCTAGGGATCTTTGAGAAGGGGTTGTTTTGGGGTGTGGGGCTGTAAGGAAGGAGTCAAGCCCCGGTCCCCCCACGGGGTGTAGGGTGCAGGGTAAGGTGTCCGCTGCTCGGGTCCTGCTGCAGCCGCAGGAAGGAAGGGAAGTGTGTCTGTTCCTCTGGGAGCGCTGCCACAAGCTGCTCCTGCCTCCCTTTCCCAGGGCGCGCTGGGCAAAGGCAGCAGCGCCTGCTGCTCCACCCAGACTCCCAGGAGGAGCAGCCACCCCTCCACTTTCCGTCCTCCTGAGCTGGGTCCCTGAAGGCCAGGGCAGCCCCAGGGAGCCGGGCAGGAGCTGCCCAAACACTTGTGTAGGGCAGCCAGCCCTTCGCTGGTTCAGGGCATGGGCCCCATGGCAGCGGGGGGTCAGGTCTGGCAGCTCTGGGGAGGGTCTCGCTGGAAATAATGGGGGATTCTGTTTATTTTATTTTTCAATGTTTACTTCTGATTTCCTTTTTGGGAGAACGAGGCTCTTTGCGTGGTTTTTGCCCCATGTTTTTGGTAGAACTCCCAGCAAGGGCTCTGGGAAGGAACCGAGGGGGTCTTGTGTGCCGCTGCTGCACCCCTTACCCCAGTTTCGGGGGTGATGGACACCCCTGATCCTGCAGCATCCCCATCCCTGTCCCAACCCCCTTCTCAAAGCATCCTTCCACCGCTGCAGGCGTGACGCCCAAATCGGGGCACTCCCCCATCCTGAAGTGCCCCACGGATTTCCCCCTCATCCTCTGGCACCCCTACGCCCGGCACTATTACTTCTGCGTGATGACGGGCAAGGAGCAGGAGAAGTGGCGGGCGGTTTTCCAGGACTGCATACGGCACTGCAACAATGGTGAGTGATGCTGGGGGGGGCCACTGCACGGGGGCTCCGGCATGGGGAGAGCATCATCCTCCTGCTCCGGAGAGGGTGTTGGGGGGCCCTGCGGTGGTTGGGTTTTGGGCCAGAGGGGATGATTTGAGGATCAAGAGGAGGAATTGGCTGGGAGTTGTGGAGCATCATTGAGCATCTCACTCAGCCCAAGCAAGGGATGGGAGTGGAGGGGTCTGGCTGCCTGGTCCATCCCTGTGCCCAGCTTCATCCCACTGCCCATAAGGAACGCAATGGCTGCACCAGCACAGGCAGCATTTGCAGGAGCCAGCACCGAGCCCTGATGCCTCTTTTCCACCCCGAGGCAGAAAATGTTTGGTAATTAAAGTCATCACAACTCCCAGCCCCACCGTCCTGCTCGCTGGCACCGCCCGGGCTCTGGCGAGGAGTGTGGGGCTGCGAGGGGCCGGGGCGGAGGCAGGACCTGCCTCCCACGTCAGCGATACCCTGGCAGGAAAACACGATTTTCCTGCTTGGCCGTGGCCTGTGCGCTCCTGGGCTGAGACCCAGGTCTCGGCGGTGCCTTGGATGGCGAGAAGTTTCCTGGGGAAGGAGGTGCCAGCGCTGAAACCTGCTCAAAATCGGGTCTTTTAGTGGGCAAAAAGCAATGCTGCCTATTTTTTTTTTAGTGCTTCTTTCACTCCTGGGACCTGCGTGTATCCTGGATTTTGCCAGAGCTGCTGTTTAGGGAACAGAGCAGTGGGGCTGGACCCGGAGCCTGGGTTTCAGTGGGGGTTTCCATCCTCCCGTGTTAGATTTAATTCCCAAGGTTCTGCTCTTTCCCATCCTTTTGGTGCTCCCCGCTGCAAAACACATCTATGCACTGCTGGGGGTCTGGGGCCACCCGAGCTTGTGGGATGAGCATGTCCCCGCAGCCTGGGCTCCTTCTGGGGGGGCTGGGTGCAGCGATCCCCTCGCAGCTGCTCATCCCCCTGGGATGCTGCGGCAGCATCATGGCTGCGTGCGGTGCAGCGCTCCAGGACCCCGTATTTATCTCTAATCCCCTCCCGGACGCTGGGTGCTGCAGTGGGAGAGAGGAGGGATGTGAGCCCCTCCACCATCCCCAGTGCTCCTCAGCAGGTGCTGAAAAGCAGTTTCAGGGGTGGGCAGTGAGCGGGGAGGCTCCGTGCTGGTGGGTTTCTGCATTTCTACAGCCTGGACTTGTCTGAGAGATGGTTCTTTGCCCCTCCCCCGCGCGCCGTTTCTGCCCCTCACTGCTCCTGCGAGGTCTGAGATACTATTTCAAATCCCATGAAAGCTCTTTTGTTGTTGTCAAGCATTTTTTCCCCTAAATTAGAGGCTCTGTTTCTGCCTCCGGTTGTTGATTAGTGTGGGAATTTTCACCTCCCTTTTTAAGACTGTACTTTTGTAACACCAGCTCTTCTGTAAAGGCTGGGGATGTACAACATCATTCCTCACGCAGGAGGTGTCCAGCCTGGCTCCTCCACAGCCTGGGTACCCCTGGCTGCTCCGAGATTGTCCCTTGCCCTGTGTGGTGGCCCTGGGGCTGGAGCAGTGCCCACCCCGCTGGCTCTTGGCCCTCTTTGCGGGCAGGCTGCCCCATTTAGCTGGGTTTTGGGCAAAAAGCAGCTTCAAACTTGTATTTCTTCTTCAGAAGAGGCCAGAGGAGATTATCCTGTGCTGTGAGTGGGGTGCACTTGGAAAAAGTTGAGATGTAGCATCGTGCTCCGGTGCCAGATACTCCCATCCCAGGGTGCACCCTCATCCCGGGAACAGGGTCCAGACTGGGGCAGTTGCTTCCCATCCCTGACTCGGATCAGCACTTAATTAGCTGCATATTAACAAAACAAACTCACTAAATTTGCCCTGTGAAGTGGCATGGTGGCTTCTTGCAACCAGCCCTGTCTGCTTGTCCCCGGGCAGGGTGCAGGGCTGGGGACGGGTCTCCCCACCCGGACTCATCCAGGGATGAGTGATCCCGGCGGGGCAGATTCTCAGGGGACAAATCCTGATTTGGAGGATGAGGTTTGGCCACAGCAGCTCTGGCAGGGGGCTGTTTCCTGTGCCAGGCTGTCCCATCCGGGAGGTGATGCTGAGCCGCAAGGAGCTGTGGATGGAGAAGCACCGGCTTGAAAGCTCAGCCCTGCTCCTGCTTCTGCTCTGGCTCCTGCTCCCACGGAGCACCGAGAAAGGGTCGGACTTGCTTTCTCAGGGCTTTTTTCCCCCTGAATACTAAGCTGCCCCTTAGGAAAAGCTGCTTAGGCTTGGAGTTAAGTGTAATCATCTTAGAAAAATCTGTGTGCGTTGGAACAGATCCACTCACTACCCCAGGCTGTCCCTCCTGGGAAGGGAGAAACCGCCCCTGGCTCCATCTCCCCGGGATGCTGGCTTGCTGGGCGGTCCAGGGACGTGCCGTGACCCTCTGCTGTCATCGCTGGGAGGATGCTGTCTGGGAGCAGAGTGGCTCTTCTGGGGGTCACTTTGCCATTGGGCCACGCTGGGCTTGGTCCCATTGTGCTTCTCCCCTGCCAGGGTGTGGGGAGGGGAGTGGGGGTGGCAGGGGGTTTGCTCCCAGGAGTGTTTGTCTGTGG